GTAGCTTGTCCATCTTCCTTCCGAGGAGTGGCTTCCTAAGGATCATCAAAACCCAACCTCTGGTCTGCAGTTAGATCAGGTTAGGCTCACCTGGAAAAATTTCACTTCGCCTAACTGATGGGTAACCTTCCCTGGCTCAGCAGCATCTGTTTGGTCCTGTAAATTACCCAAACCAAGGGCTGGTATCTCATCAAGGCTTGAGGCTGGGAATCTGGGCTGTCATAAGATTTTGCCTATCACACATAAGTCCATCACATAACGAACTTGAACACAACTTCACTTTTATAAGACCATTGAGTTGTATTTGTTTGGGTTTTTATATTCAATTTATTTCACTTTGACTCAGTGTTTTTGCATTAAGTAATAAAAATTATGTTAATCCAAAGTAGTAAATGATGGGTAAATATAAAAAGTTAGAATTTTATTCTTCCAAATCTTTAATCATTAAATTACACCTTCCTTTTTTATATGTTTATAAGTCATTTGGTTTTCTTGTCCTATCTTAACAAACATGGTAACTTTCCTTAATAGTGTGGTCTTGTCACTACTGGATGTCACACTGGACTCAAAACCAAACAAAACCCACTGCTATCGAGTCAATTCCTAGTCATAGCAACCCTTCAGAACAAAGTCGAACTGTTGCCCCATAGGGTTTCCAAGGCCATGCATCTTTACAGAAGCAGATTGCCTCATCTTTCTCCCATGAAGGAACTGGTGGGTTCAAACCCCTGACCTTTTGGTTATTAGCAGCTGAATGCTTTAAGCAGTACCCCACTAGAGCTCCTCACACTGCACTAGGTATCAGGAAATGATCCAGCTCAAGCTCTGTCACTAACAAGGTGACCATCTGGGCAAGTTACTTATGACAGGCCCATGGAATTTGATCTTGAAAGGACTTTAATGTCATCCGTGCCAAAAAAAAAAAAATCAGTTGACTTTTTAACTACTATACAAAATCACTGCCCATCTTTGGCCTTATCCTGTAGAATCTCATTTGATCTTTGGACAGCGCCATTATTAAAAACAAACAAACAAACAAACCACAGCCTTCCCATTAATGTTTCAAAAGCTCTATTTCTCCGGTTTCAAAGGTCCAGAAGAATGGTGGCATATGCAACTATGCAGAGAAAGTCGTCATTCTTACAACAATTAGAAATTTTCTTCTTCTCTCATAAGACAGTCTTTCACATATTTGAAGACTGCTATTATGTACTTTCTTCGCTAGAAATCAGCTTAGGAGTTTTAATGGACGGGCAGAGATTTCCTTTAGATTCCCTCGGCATTAGGAATCTAAAGCCTTCACAGTGCCAGCACTGAAACTGCGACCATGATTGGCTCCTCCATCATTCTATCCTGGTGGCTCTTCTCTGGACCAGATTCAGAATGAGAACCCAGCCCTTCCACTCTCCTTGCTCCAGAATCTCCAGGCATACCAAGGTAGGAATACGGAAGCACATTCCTACAGCCCATTGTTCAGCCGCCTAGAACTTCACTGTTCTCACTCAGCTTATTCAACTGTTAAAATAAGATAACCACTATGCAGAATATCACTGAAGATTTCTATTGGATTTTCTGGCTCTGGCATTTCAAACTCTAAAGAATATGGATTAACTGTATTCTAATTAAAAATGTACACTCTATATTACTGTTTTCAAACAAAGGTGAATCAGATATTCTACTTTCTATTTGTCAAAAAGCTGAGAAGCAACACGCAATCTGCATGAATTTTAATAGGAACCAAGAGAGCGATTCAGCACACTCATTACGAATGCTGGTTCAATGATCAGTTATCATCACGTCAAACATTCACCGCGAGCAAACCTTGTGCGTGACAGTCCAGTCTCAGGAGCAGCCAGGAAGTCCATGAAAGAGAAAACCAACACAGGTGGGGTCTCCAGTGCTTGCTTTACTCCACAGTTATTCAACGCCACTTCCCAGTCTCTAACCTTTACCGTAACAGAGAAAGCCTGTCACAATAGAGCCATCTTTGTCTAGCTCTGCAGGCGACTTCCCCTTTGGGTCACAAAATGCCAAGTCCTGTGACAGGCAGGTACGCCTGGTATTTTTCTCTAGGTTTGTACAAAAGATAGACTATTTACCAGCTGGCAGAGAGGGAGGTGTGTGCTTACACTCATAACACCATCTTGAAGACTGCAGTGCAGAGGTACTGGTTACAGTAGTAAAGGTGGGGCTGGACTGCATCTTGCTGGAAAAGAATCTCAAACCTCTCTCATTCATAGAGCTTAAGAAAAACAGATGCGAGGATGGAGCACAACAAACTACAGCTCAGCCCCTTCAGTCTCTGAGTGGGCATTCACACTTATATCATCAATGTTGCTAGCGTTAGTTCCTGCTGGGTCGATTACGGCTCTGGTGATCCCATGGGTGCAAAGTAGAACTTCCCCACAGGGTTTCAAGGAAGGGCCCTTTCAGATCTGCTCACCAGGTCTGTCTTCTGAGGTGCCTCTGGGTGGGTTCTCTATTCACCATCCTTTGGCTAGTGGTCAAGCACTGAAGCTTGGGTGTCACCAACATCATTTGATAAAGAAAGAGGCCCATTTCCCCTCTTCATAATGAACCTAACTTTTCCAAGCATTTGCTCACACGCAAAGAGCCCTGCAGGTGGCAATATTAGAGCCTGGATCCTGATCTCTGAATTACTGTAACTGAAGGTTTTGGGGAAGATCTAACACACTGCATTTTATAGGCCAACTCCAGATGGAGAATCAGGAGAAAATCAAATGAAGAAAGATAAAAATATTTCTTGGAATATGACTAACTCCCTCAAAGGTGACTCTTCTTTTTCCCTCACCTCGAATAGCCAGTCTCCAAATTCTAGCACATCTATATTTAATGTTTCCTAATCTTTGCACTGCTGAAAGAATGGTAGGTTTAGAAGAAATATAAGCAGAATGTTCTTTAGAAGTGAATATAGAGAGATTTCCGCTTCCTTTAGCCAAGTCATCAGGAAAAGACCTCAGGAAGGAGGACATCTTGTTTGGCAAAGGGAGGACCAAGGAGAAGAGATAAACCCTCAATGAGACGGAATGACAACAGCTGCCACCATGGACTCAACCGCCAAAGATCATGAACACGGTGCACAAGGGGGCAACGTTTTCTTTCTGCTTCATACATGAGGCCTCCGGAGGTTGGAGCCCCATGAAAACCAACCATGACAACAGCGTCCACCCTCATAACCTTGTCCAAGCCGCTTGGATTCCTGGCACTCTTGATATTGAGGTGTTAACTTCCTCCTTGACGTGTTAACTACTCTATTCTTTCTTCATAGGGAAGTTATTGCTCTAAAATACAGATCCGAGTGCATCACTCTCCTGCTTCTCTTTCCTATATTCTTAATACACTCACGATAAAGTCTAAGACCTTTAGAGAGGCCTCAGAGTCCTTGGGCTTCATGATGGACCCAACTCCCACTCCCATGCTTTCAGTGAGTCATATGCAATGGCTTTACTTCATGAAAAGGCAAGTGTATTCTAGTATGATCCCTGACTTCCCAGATGCTATTACCTCCACCTGGAAACCTCTTCCACTTTGTTTACCTGTCAAAGTAGTGTTTCTCAGTAAGATGAAGCTGAGGCCCCAGGTGCTATCTGGCTCCATCTCTGACTACCCTACCAAGTATGAGTGGTCTCTTCTGTTTCTTTACTAACATTTTAATGATCTTGTCTCATCCATTGGATAATTTTGTATAACATTTCTGTTTAAGAATGAAACTGTGAATGTGAAGAGAAGCCAAGCATGTCTTTTCATCTCTTTAGCTGTGGCATCTAGCCTAGAGCTTGGCAATTTATAGAGTCCCTAAAGCAATTAATTAAACAGTGAACAGCTTCAATCCTAATAAAATAGCCAACTTCAATTCTAATAAATCAATAATGCTTGGTTGAAGCTATTCTCTAAACCTGAGGAAGGAGAATAAAGGGAGGAGAATAAGAAAATACCCAATATTCTACACCAATCCTCATTACTGGCACAAAAGTGCTTGTCTTGGTATGTCTTAAGGCTATCTCCAGAAGATAATGGGTATGCATGTTCTAAAGGAGTGTTTCCAAAATAGTGGTCCAATTGTGACTCTGGCCCATAATTGGTTTAATTTATACATCCAATGTTTAGAAGGCATCACCAACTTTTAAAAATCAAGACACACACACACACACAAAAGAAAACCAAACCCACTGCTATTGAGTCAATTCTAACTCACAGCAACCTTATAGGCAAAGTAGAGGGTTTCCAAGGCTCTAAATCTTTACAGACACAGACTGCCTCATTTTTCTCCCATGAAGCGGCTGGTGGGTTTGATCCACCAACTTTTTGGTTAGCAGCTGAATGCTTTAACCACTTTGCCACCAAAGTGCCTTAAAAATCAAGATAATCCATGTAAAATCTAATTTTCTCATTTCATATTTTTTTTAAAAAAGGGGGGGATACTTGATAATGGTGGGCCCACATTTTTTTTAATATGACAAAAATCAAAAGGAGCTTAATATGTAGTTAAGTAGTTGTCTCCTTTGGAAGGCTATAGGTTCTTCCAGGTCCTGTTCACTCCTGTCACCGAACCTTATCAAAGATTTATTTCATGTGCCAGAGATATGAGCTTGCAAGTCTGGACAGTTTCTTCGATGATGTGATTGCAGACTAGGAAAAGAAATGAACACACAAAAATCCCTGCAATTGCTGACAACGAGGGCACACATGCAATCACAGCTAATTTATACCAGTTCAGTCCATTTTTCGTAGAAGTAGACTTATTTAGAGTCTGTAACCCAGCTTATCGAATGACCTCTCCATCACAATCTACATAATGCTGTTGACGACTCTGGGGGTTACACGGAACAGAGAAGGACAAGTTGCATTTCAGAACCAGAGTAAAAGAACAGCTCATGTTCACACTTGGGACAGCTGAGGCCTTTTCAGTTGGCTCAGGGTAGTGCATGCTCTAGACACATTTCAATCCATCGTCCAATCCGGTTCACCTTGGCACTGACCTTGGACCGTGGCGGTGCTCGGATGTACCATTTGCAATCGACAGCCTCACTAGCGGAAGCCTTGCCTTCCTTCATAATTTGCACAGACTCCACGATTCCTTCGGGGCCGCCCATCTCAAACTCACAAGCTAAATAACAGAATGCCAAACAAACATACAAAAATGGAGCTTGAATAATAAACCAACAGTGTATTTCATAGCAGAAAGCAAAGGTCTCTGAACATGGTTAAATATTTCGTTTACCAACCTGGTAATGGTTTCAAAACGCCAAGGTCCTTAAAGTCAGGATCTTAAAAATTGAGAAAAACACAATTAGTCCTATTCTGCATTTATTACTTACAATTAATGAATAAAATCCCATTAAATTACTCAGGCTCCTGCCCCAAGATGCATATGCAGGAAAATGAAATCATTAAATAAATAGTGCAGGAACATGTCATAACTGAAATGTTACCATTCACAACATATTCATTACCACAGGGTTGTTCTTAACACCAGAAGCCGTTTTCAAAAATCATCCAAAGTTACTCCTTCAGGAAATCATCAAAGAAAATATTTACTCACTATCTATTAACTCTCTAACTGGGCAACGGATGATTTTAGAACGCATATTCATAGGTTAGTTAGCGTTTGGACGAACTTTCATCTGTTCTAATAGGACTATTTTGTCTTATTCAAAAGATTCTGCAAATTGTTGAAACATAGTTTCCAACTGAAACATTGGGAGCACAGAGTTGGGATGTAAAGTCAAGGGCCCTTTCTCCCTAGATTACTGCACTGTCCTGTTTTCATCCAACCCACTCTCTTGACGTTGCGTACCATCCCAGCTTTCAGCGCACCTCTCAGGATACTGCATTATGGACTCAGCACCCTGGCATCTGTGTCTTTCTCTCCAGCAAAGCAGGTTGGGTTCCTTTCTCTGCTCAGGGACATGGGCTTGCTTTATGCAGAGCCCCCAGGACATTGTACTCATTGCAAGCCAACAACTGCTCTCCTTCCCATTGTCTGGAATTGACTGTGACCGACGGGTACACCCGATGAAATGAAAAGGTCAGTCTGGTCGAGGGCTTCTGAGAAGGTTTCCACAGGCTCAGAGAAACAAGACATCTGAAGTTTTAGTGGCTTGTGCTGTAGTGCCTTTGGGCCCTTTACAGTCAAGGCAGTAGCCAACTTGTGATGTTGAGAGGTGCTACTGTAAGAAAATGAAGACTTGGATAACACTGGGTCCTAGAGGACATCACTGAGACACTATGTTAGCCTATTATGGATGTGCCTATCTCAGGGATTTCTGCTTTTTTTAAACAACATGCTTTATATATATATATATATATATATATATAGCATCAGCTACTCTGAATTGGATTTTCCTGAAATTATGGGTGAAGTCATCTCTGGTTATGGTTTTATCTTGGAGACACTTGATATATAATTAAAAAGTCAATTGTGAACTCTAATTTCTTCATACTAGTATGGTGTTAGCTAGAAATATTCCCAGAGGCATTGCTTAGCAATCATTTTAGGATGGAAATATGAGGGGCTAGCACTATTTTTCAAGAGTTATTGGAACTGGGTAGCTTGCTTGTATGTGTATGTGTATCTAAGTGTGTCTCTTTGAATGTCTGTGCACCTGGGTGCACAAAACCATAGCTGTGAGCTGATCATGGCAGTTACCATCATCATAGTTCTGTTACAGTTGTCATCAAACACTGATATGTGTACATCTGTTGAAACTCAAAGACCTAGATCATCTATGCTACAACCTAGTCATATCAGGCATGTAGACTCATTATATTTTAAGACACTTTTAAACAACAAAAACAAAAAAGCCCTGTTGCTTTAGAGTTGATCCCAACCCATACTGATCCCATGTATGTCAGAATAGAACTGTGTTCCATAAGACATGACTACAATGTATTAATAAATGAAATCAAGAGAGGAACTCCTTGACACAACTGTTTTGAAAATATTTCTTTTCCCTTCTTGGAAAAAAAAAAAGGAAAGGAAAGGAAAGATATCTGAACAAAAGTTCCATGGAAAAAGCAGAAATGAGAATATTCATAGTTAATTTGGACCATGCTACCTACTAGAAGCAATTGTATTCCTTCATTTTATTCAACAAATATTTGGTTGTTGGAACTGGTTTAAAACAGTTCAGACATGGCCAAGGGAAACAAGGAGAGTTTGCACATTGCGTTGCCCTTGGATTTTGTTCTGAGGAAACAGGCAGTGGTTTCCCAGTCAAAGATGGCAGGTGAGTGCACAGCTTTGAATATGTGCCACAGTGCAACTGGCCGCCATCTTTGAGTGAGCAACAACTGCCTGTTTCCTACTCAAAAAGCTGAGCACAAAAAATTTGGTTGTATACAATGGATGTGCTGCCCTTGTTTATGTTCACCATGACTGAACCGTTTCAAACCAGTTACATCCCTGGTTATTCTTTCCATATATATGTATTTAATACCTTACTGTGAGCAAAAAGGAACTCGCTTTTGTACTGGATTCTTCTGATCAATGTCAGCAATAACCATATTCACTGATACTGAAGAGATTCATCCATATGTTTTCCTTATTCTAACATCAAGCCTCTGTCCAGAAAGAGTAAGATTCTTTTCTTAGCCTTTGGATCCTTTCTACTATTTACCATATTGTTTAATTACATTCATTATTATTACTCTGTACCTGCTTCTTGATTAGAATGTGTCAGCTCCATGTGGCTGTTGTTAGGATTCTGGTGGAAATGGAGTTGGTTTTCTATTTTCTAGTTTGAAGGTTAACATTTTTCATTTTCATAACTCATGCCAGACAACTTTGAGAGAAATGCCAGTTCTGGGAATTGAAAATTTATTTTTGTCTTTGTATTAATGATGAGAGCACTGATGGTTAAAAAAAGAAAGAAAGGAAATAAGAAAAAATGAAGTGTTTCTGAATTCTATTTGATTTAGCCATGGGTCAGATCAAGATAATAGATGACCCATAAGACCTACAAAAACAAACAAACAACAAAATAATAATAGAAGAGCCTAAATTGAATGTTAAATATATTAGGATTGATTTGTTGTCCAAGTCTGTCTGGGGGCACTGCCATAAATTATTATGCAGAAGCACAGTAAAGTCGGACTTACTAATCCTCTACTTTGGATCTCCCCAAATCTATTTATTCTCTACTGAGTGCTGTGAATAAACATTTAAGAATATAAATCAAATTGTAATACCCACCTAGCTTTCCATTATAAACAGAATAAAACCACATTTCATTGGACTATCATCCCCTGTAAAGAGCCCTGGTGGTGCAATGGTTAAGCTCTTGGCTACTAAATGAAAGACTGCTGCTCAAACTCACCTAGTAGCTCCACCTGGCAATCTGCTTCCTTAAAGAATACAGCCAAGAAAACCCTACAGGGCAGCTCTACTCTGCCACAAGGGGTCACTCTGAGTCATTATCGATTTGACGCCCACAGCAACCACATTGCGCCCTGTGGTCTTGCCCCAGCACACCTGGCTCAAGCTCCCTTGCCGCTTCTCTTCTGCTCTCCTCCCCCACCCCCCTGACCCCTTTCCTCAAACACTCCAGACTTTCCCCATCCTCCACTCTTCACAGTAGTTCTCCCCTCTGCCTGCAAAGCCTTTCCCCAGGTCTTCTCACACCTAGATCTTTCTCATTTTACAAATCTTGTCCCAAATGTTATTTCTGGGCAAGGACTTCCTTGGCCATCCTCTCTAAAGTACCACTGGTTCATGTTTTCTTCTCTCCCTTCATGATTCTTATCACAGTTTGCAATTGTTTTGCACCTTGCTCGTTAACTTTTTTATTGATCATTTACTCCCATTAAGATATAACAAACTGGGCAACAGGAGAGACGCTAAACTTCACTCTATACTTCCCTTTCAATCTGGGGTCTAGATCAGTGTGTGTACATAGAAGTCACACACAACAGAGACTGATGAATAAATATTTAACATCTGGTTGTGTACTGCCTGAGGCATTTGACTGCTAACCAGAAGACTGTTGGTTCAAACCCACCAGCCACTCCTCGGAAGGAAGGTTGGGCAATCTACTAGTGATACCGCCTCGGAAACCCAAGGAGGGGTCGCTGAGTTGGCTCTGACCCGACAGCAGTGAGTTTGATTTGGTTTTTTTTGGTTCTGTATGTAAAAATATATTGTTATTTTTACCACAAGTTGGTTTTCTTATATTGTTGATGTATTCATATATTTTAGGTAAATATATCAATTTAGGAGCTCTAGTAGCATAATGCCAAGGCACTTGACTGCTAACCAGGAGGCTGGCAGTTCAAACCCACCAGCCACTCCTCCGAAGGAAGGTTGGGCAATCCTACTTCCGTAGTGATAACTGCCTCGGAAACCCAAGGAGGGGTCGCTAGGAGTCGGGGCCGACTCAATGGCAGACGACAACAACAACAATATCAATTTAGACATGATATTAAAGGCTGGCCTCCTGCTTACCAAACTCACACCTCTGTCTTCAAGGATACATAACTGACTATGTTTCTCAGCCTCTCTTGCAATTGCAGGTGTCCATATGACTAAGTTACAGCCATTGGAATGTGGACAAAATGGTTGAATTTTACTTGCAGTTTGAACTCATAAACTCCCCTTGAAAAACCCTTGGGTCTCTCTTTCTTCCACAGGCCGCCTCAGAAGTCATACACGGACGGTGCAAACTCCATCAGACTGGGTCCCTAAATATGCATCTGGAGCACAGCCTCTTCTTGCCTCGGATTTGACTTTGCAGGATGGAAATAAACTTCAATTATGTGCGATGACTGAGATTTTAGGAGCCCTGTTGATGCAACAGTTAAGGTCTCAGCTGCTACCTGAAAAGGTGGTGGTTTGGGCCACGCAGCAGTTCCTTAGGAGAGAGACCTGGCAATCTGCCCCCATAAAGATTACAGCCTAAGAAACCCCGTGGGGCAGCTCTACTGTCATATTGGGTCACCTAACAACAACAACAACCCTGAGACTTTGTTTTTTTTCAATGTTACTACAATTATTATTCCTCTAACTCAGAGGGGCTCACGATGGGTGAGGAGACCCCATGAGTCCATGAGACCCTTTCATGGGGTCCAAAGATCAAACTATTTCCACAACACAAAAGTGTTGTCTGTCTTTTTTCATTCTCTGTCTCAAGAATGTATAACAGAGTATTTCCACGTCCTACATGACATGATGACATGACTATCATAGCTAATGAAATATTTGCTCATATATCGTTGTGTTTTCAATAATGTCCTAAGGTGGTGTGCTTAGGGTATAAATTTTGTGATTTTT